CGTCAATCTCTATTAGCACTGACGTGAAAACCAGGAGAAACATTGTGCCGTGAATGAACTAGCAACGGCCGTTTCACACATACTCCGTGTGCAGTGTGTATGCGTTTTTTCGTACCCATGTAGTTAGAGCTTTCACACTGCACGCGGGTGCAGACAGTCCGTCGGTCCGTTCCAATTGCGGTGCGTTTACAGCAGTGCAGAGATCGTTTTCCATCACTTAAAAACTCAAATATTAAATATATTTAGGTTTGACAAGGAAGTCAATTTGCGAATAGTGTTCGACTAGTTGGTGCAGAACGAGTACTGGAACGATTATTTGTGTGCTTCCCTAACTCATACGTTTCTCTAATTTACATTGTGTGTGTCACAAGCAGGGGAGGCCATAGTAGGGAAAATACCACTTCCTGTTTTCTCCCAGCTGCTGAGGAAGTGTGTGTGTGTGTGTATGTGTATATACTGAAGAGCATATCTACCACAATAGCCACCATGAAGCCAGTCCACAACAACACCAAAACCCATACACCACAGTGACAATGACGCAAACACACAAACAACCTTAAGCAATGACACACACACATACACACACATATACTTGGCTGAGAAACCACAGCAGAGAGGTGAAGAGGATGGAGAGATAGATGAGGTAGAGTGGGGGAATGTGTGCTGGGTTTATCTCTGATACAGTTAACTTCCTCTAGCACCACCACAGTGGTGTGGTAATAACAGAGGTAAGGATACATCTACACACACACACACACACACACACACACACACACATACAAGCGCACACGCACACACAATCTCTTATTTCTCTTCTAAGAATCTGCTTGCTCAGAACTCAATTCAATTCAGTTACCCCCCCCCCCCTGACTGAAAAAAAAAACTGACTGAACTGAACTAAGAACACATGGCTATTAGTCTACTCCTTTATGACACTCACCTCATCAAACATAAACAGAATGATGGGCAGGAAGAAAAGATGTGATGTCAATAACTTCAGCCTTGTCTGACCTCACCCCATCACATTAGCCTTTAATTAATTTTTGACTTTATAATTGGTTACATTGACGAATTGTAGCAGTATCGAAAGGTAGCCAATAGACTTTAGTTACAACACAGCTGTGAACCATAGTCACTTGCAAGTAATTTTCATTCTATTCACAGTATATCAGTACAATTTCAGTTTTTGGTCATTATTAGAGATTTTTAAATTTATTAGTATTGGTTGTGATTGGAAATTTATGCATGAGTGCATGCACATTTTCCTATTTTTTACATTTAGATTGGCTGTTTAGTTGTAGAAAGGCTAAACTGAAGGCTTTACACAAGAGCTCAGGAAGATTTTGAACGTTAGTGTTGTAATGATGCACTGGACCCACTAGTTACAAAAGGATAATGTTTCAGAGCACAGCGTACAACACCACACCATTACGGAAATCAAACAATTTACTGTAGGAATGAGCCAGATACAATAAAAAAGACTTAAACCGTACTTCATGTGCTCATACAGCATCTAATGACTCTGTTAGTCCCTTGCATGAATATTTCACCATTCAAAACAAAAGGCTGGATGCTCAGCACAAGAATCTTAGCGTATCTGACAAGCACTCTGTCCCGGAACATTCCGGGTGTGGGACTATCAGCTCTCTGTGCATTAAATATGCAACAGAGGTGTGAGGGGTCACAAAGGACACCCTATTAGGTTTCATTATTGTTGTCCTCATCCATTTCCTTTGTTCTGCTGTCTTGTGTTTGACCAGCCACTGACACTTGTGTCAATTGTAGAAGACTACACAGTTAAATATGCTGTGCCTCATGTAAGCAACACTGGGAAACTTCAGCAAAGTAAGGAGGTTTTGTCTGGACTACATATTGTGGAGGTCATTATAGTCACATCACCTGCTTGTTAGCAACTGTTTGAAGGAATTACAACATCCTTATAATTATCAGGCGCCAAAAAAATCCCCTCAGGGATCAATAAATAGAAAGATATCAATCACTCCATGCAGCATGTGTAAATAGCTAGCTGTGCCATAAGCATCTGTTTTTACAGTGTGATGGACACAAACGTTTTATCCTGCCGGGGCTCCCATACTATGCACAGATGAAGGCATGGTAAGGGTGTGGCCATGTCATCCATCACGCAGGACAAAAACAGCATCAAGTATAAGCTGGAATTTATGGTTCCACATGCTGATTAAATGCATGTATCCAGTACCGCTTTATGTGTCACTACAAATCTTGTTTAATCAGAACAAATAAAACTCTCAGACAGGTCAGACTGTATTCATGCATGGCATGTCAGTGGAAAATAATCACCATGTTGACAGGAACTGGCTGTAAGAATGCCCTCAAAATCAACGGAGTCTTAAACACCTTGTTCGATCCACACTGGTGCCACATTCCTGTGGTCTAAAACAAAGTGATGATCAATTGCATGCAGGTTTACACAAGATATCACATAGCTCAAAGACAGGCTACTATTTTAACATCTGTGCAAAGGGAGGAACTGAAAGGGATGATCATGGAAAGTGTCAGAGTACTTGAATGGTTCTGCATGACTGCATTGTTTTCCAATGGGGCATGCATAGCAAAAGCTCAGTAAAAACAGTGTTTTCCAAAGACTGTGTTTGTGCTTCATTTTAAGTGCTTGTGAGTATGTCATGTAAATAAATGACACGCCCATTTATCATTTGTTAACTGAAAGCTCCATTATTTCATCCGATTGATCAGTTTCTTAACTTGTCAATACAAGTTCTCTTCTCGGTACATCACTGTAATTTAAATGGTACTAATAATTGCAATGTAATTGAACATTAAACACAATTGTGCACTATAAAGTCTTCCCCTTTTCTCATTTTCTCAAAAACACATAAAATAACACTTAATTTAGACATTTGTTCTCTCTTAATTCAGTCATATAAAGCATGCTGGGAACTAACAAGCACAGTCCAGTTTCAGTTAATGCAACACAAATCATTCATGTAATCCAACACAAACTGATTAAGTTAACTTAAATTTGACATTTAAGTAGATTGAACACAATCGAATTAAGTTTGGACAAAATGTATATCAATTTTAATTGAGCAATTTCTACAAGCAGCAAAAGTCATTTTTTTTGAGTGTTGTAATGTTTTTTTTTATTTCTTCAGATTTTAGTTGTAGCTAATTGTAACTCTGTCAAGAGTCTTATCGAGTTTAAAAAAAACATCACTGTAAATGCATTTTACACTTATACTGTCACTTTGTTGTTTCTCATATACTGTTTCTCCTTTTGCAGGCCCTTAATTTTAAACTCCGCTATGCCTTTAAGAAATGTATTGCTCGTATGTGAAATGCGAACAGCACATTCTCATTTCAGCTTTCATAGAGAAGCTAAAAAGCACAGGCTACACTTAACTGCCCCATACATCAATGTCAAATGTGTAACATTGTGACAGATGCATAAAACAATTCAGGCTTAAATATATTACAACACATTTGGAAGATCAAACAATCTGGGATTTTATAAAACAACACATCTGTCTGGCATCAGATAGTTGCAGAAGTTCTGATTGGGTGATTTGTGCAGCTTGGTTTTTAAGTTATTATTTTTAGACTGAGGAGAAAATTCTGGAAGTTACAGTAAGTACATTAAGAACCCAACAGAAGGGACATTTTGATTCCTTGTGGCATAACCTAAATAAATAATTACTCCATAGAAATAGTTTCAGCAAATATGTCTAGGCAAACAAAAGGGAAAAAACATGCTGAATTACGAAATCATTTCATATTCTGCTGTACTTTTTTTTGAAATGAAAAAGTTTTCAAATTCTAACTGTTTATATATTTCCTGTCTTTGTGTCTTAATAGGCGCCAGAATGACAATTGTTTCATCATTTACATGGATTCAGCTGAACAATAAGTTTGCCACAGTGTGTTCAGTCTTTTTCATTCACATTGAGTTTTTTTTCCCACTCTCATTAGAAAAAGAAAAAGAACTCTGAAAGAAACCCTGTGAACGTAGGCTACGTTTGTTTACTCAAATACTATTTTCCATTTTCTTTGCAAATTGACTCCTTGAAGCTGTGTTATAGTTAATTATACACATCAGAAGTTGAGTTTGTGTCTTTTAAGAATTGTCCCTCAGATGAACTCAAAAAATATTTTCTTTTCTTTCAGTTGAGTCCACGGGATCTCTTTCTTTATTAGTTTTCATGCTGAAGGCATCCACCTTGATTTTTCCAATATGACATGGGTAAAAAGGAAGTTGTTTTCTGAGCACTTAGAGGCCATGTTATTAAAACAGGATTCAGTTAGGAATGCTCTCTGGAACTCCAGAGCCCACTTGGGAAGCCTTCAGGGACAAAAACTGTGTACAAGTGCTGCCATGCTTCATCATATTCAGTCCTCTCATTAAAGGTCATTTAATCAGAGGAGTTCTAGGGGGTGGGGGCAGATCATTTGAAATACAGTATCTTTGTTTTGTAGTATTTTCACAGATTACATGAGAAATTGGCTAAAGTTTGGCTTTTTTTCTGCAGCTCTTGAACTGACAGATCGAGTGACGCACATGGTTCTGCTAAATAAAGAGCTCATTGAGAATCAGGTGTTACGACACTATTCAATAATGTACAAGGTAAGTTTAGATGATCTAAAGAGCGGGATTTGCCACTTTATCTGGAAACTAAGCCTGTGCTATAAGAGATCTATTCGGCATGGGCATCTTTTTTTGCCATTTGCATACACCAATTTAAAGTTTAGGACAAAAAAAAAATATTTTATGTTTTGCATATTTTTCTACATATACAGCTGATTGCAATTTCCATACAGATTATATAACAAGTATAATGAAACATCAATGAAACAAGAGAAATCATGTGCAAAAACACCATCGCTGAGTATTTTCTCCTTAAAACTGCAGTGAACCATAGAAAATTACGAGTGTTTCTTACAACACAAACTACCCTGTATCCAATCATTTCGAAGTGGGGGCGGGCTTTACCAAATCATTTACTGCTGGTGTCTCAAGATAAGCCAGGTGATCCCGGTAGGCTATATTTTTCTGTTATATGAAAAATAGGATACATTTAGCAATATAGTGGGTGAATTATGAATGATGTTTTGGTTAGCCGTTCAATGATGTTTAAAGCGTTCCTAAGGATAATGTTTTAATTGGCAGGCTGAGACGGTGAATGGGAACATGGTTTGTGTAACATTAGCAACACATTATTAGCTTTTTGATAACTTAGAGCAAAAGGATAATCATGTTAATTACCGTTATGTGTCCAACGTTGTAAAAAGCTATACCGTTTTACAGCGTTTACTACAGTAATTTTAAACGAGTGTATCAGGTATTGATTCACTGAGAGTTGAGGCGGGGTTGCATATTCATGGTTCCGAATAAATGAAGTTAAAGTGCAGTTACATTCAAGCTATTAAGGCAATAGGACATTTTACAGGAAACAAAACTCTTAAATCTGTCAGTTAGGTCAAAGAATTTTAAGGAATACAGTTAAAAACTGGTTTACTACAGGGGGAGTGTGTAATTTAAGTGTCAATAAGCAATTACAAAAATAATGATATAGGAAAACAGGTTTCCAGAACATGCCCTTGTCTGTCATTGGTTAGCCAAACCCAACCAACTGATTGCTGTTGTTCTGATACAGTTGGTCCTGCTTAAAAAAAAAAAAAAAGTTCTTGAATTTTAGATTTTTTGTTGCCAGTAGTACATCATTCTTTATTTTAAATATATGCCTATCGACTGATTGATTAATGGACATTCAATTAATGTTGCATACAGACAACATAATAATAGCTCTTCATGGAAAGCCAACAATTGAGTACCGATAACTCAAAAAGGGTTACACGCATTTCAGTAATGCATTGTTGAAAATTAAAATTTAAATAATATTTTACCAATACAATTTGCATAAACCAATAATAGAAAAAATATATAGGCTACATTTACATAGCATAAATGTTTCCTTACACTTCGACAGTCCACTTTTTACACGTTCCACTAACTGTAAATAATAATGCTACATGCAATCTTAACTCTCATTAATTTTCAACTAAATGTCAGGTAACTCTCATTAGACTATTAGGTTAGGATTAGCAGAATAAGTTGACATATACTTGGATACTTGCAAAGTTATTTATAGAACGTCTGTTGGGGCAGCAGTTTGTTTGAGCAGGTCAGTGTTTGTTTTTGTTTTTTGGTTAAACGTTACAGTATTGAACCTTATTCCTTGCAGTCATTACATTCTCCATACATGTTTTGGTGTGCCAACAGTATCTCATTCATGCAATTGGACACGAAGTCAATAAGCCCCCATGACGTTTGTTTATAGCGTAAATTACATTCTTCAAATGAGATAAAGAAAATACACACGCACAGAAAACATCCTCCGGGGCATCCTGGCTATATACTGTAGATTTAAGACTCGTCAGGCACACTCAGAAGAAGAGTGTCACCTTTTATCATATCACTGAGCACTCTCGTGGACATCATGCAAACATCCTGTTTCTCTGGATGTATCCGCACAGGACAAGGAAATCAACTTTCCTTCCTCTACAATCTATTCACAAGCTCGCAACCCAAAGTGGTCCACCATCACAGACGCTAACACACGAGCACACACAAAAAAAACATCAGAAGAAAGACCTGCTCGTTCTTGTGCATACACACACATTATTAATGTTTCAACCAGTGAAAAGACATTTCTTTTCACATAAATTGCAGGGTTACAGTCTATGGATGTCTAATTTTCCTTGAAATCTTCATGGCCCTTGTTCTTGTCATAAAAAAAATGTACTTGTTCATCCATGACAAAGCTAATTCAAAGAAATCAGTATAACAGTCTCACACTCACTTCATAGTCTATTTCCTAGCTGTCACATCCTGCTTTGTAAATGCAGAACAAATAAAATCTCATTGTTATCCAGCCCATTCAAGCTCAAATGGAGTCTGTTTCTGTACTCACAACTTGCACACATTGTAAAAATGTCTTTCCCAAACAATAAGCTCTTTTTATGTCTGCTAACAGTTAACCCACATATGTGATTAGTCTTAATGACAAATAAATTGTGCTCGGCAGCGATTACCTCACCAACACCTTTCACACACTGACAATGGTTTCTCAATGCCAGGCCATGACTAACACAGAAAATGCTGAAATACACAAAATCAGAAATGGGTGTTTATGTATGTTCACGGTCTAATGCCTAGGACTGTACATTCATTTGGCCTGATTAAAACGGGGATTTACTGAATTGTCCACACAGAAGGTCAAAAGAGTTTGTATTCGTATGAGCGGAGCTGGGGGAGGGCTATTGTCTCTTCATTAGTTTGCTTGTCTTTTCCGTTCAAGATTGTTTTTCTCAAACACAGCTGTGTGGATGAGTGGAATGTGATGTGGGAGACTCACACTCGTGGAATTGACAACCTGAGAGCTAACCCCCTTCCTGTACAGCTGGAGAGGCACGCACGCACACACACACACACACACACGTATAAGATCTATTCACTATGTCCGTTTGTCCCCAGGGAGAGACTGACTGTACGTTTATGACTTAAAAACAAACATCCTGAAATCCAGCAACTCTCTCCAGCTCTCCAAACCCTTATTCAGATGTATGACATCATATTCAAGATTTGAATCTTATCACTAAACAGTCTTATCACTCCCCACAGACCTCCTCGAACCAGCTGTGGCAACACACTCCCGAGCAAAGAGAGAGAGAGAGGACACATCCTGCCCAATTTTCTGCACTTGCCATAACCTGTGGATTTGTATTGTTTGTGGAGCATGTAATTGCATCAGTCTGATTGAGGTAATCCCCAGATCACAGCTGCTGATAGCACTAATTGTTTAGGGAACCTAATTAGTATTGTGACAGATATTCATTGTGATGTCATTGTGTTTACTGTAGGCTATAGAGGAGATCTGAAATCAAAATCTAGTCATTTTTATTTGAGGTGAACATTGTATTGGATGGCAACAAATAAGTATCCTAATTCATTAGGATCCAAGCAGAGAAGCGACCAAACACCTGCACGTTTTCCCTTAAATACAGGAGTAGTGTAACTCGACCAAGAATGACACAAAATAAAACGTTAAAGGGGATAACAATAATGAATGGGGGAATACAGCAAGTGATATATCTATGGACTCAGTAATATCATAGATATATATGCGCCGAGTCGAAGTGCTCCCAAGCACGCTATGGTATTCTGCCATAAGTTATAGTTATCCCCTTTACACACTTAGAAAAGCGCAACGTTTTATTTTGTGTCACCATTCTTGGTCGAGTTACACTACTCGTGTAACTTTATTTAAGGAAAATGTGGAGGTGTTTGGTCCCTTCTCTGCTTGGATCCCATTGAATAAACTGGGCCGAGTTAAGTGCTATCAAAGTGCACGCACTGAGACGAGAGAGGTATATATCAACTCATTTTAGTTAAGGGAATACCATAGTTTAATATGAAAAAACAGTGCTTTTGAACAGTGCTTTTGAAACTAAAATGTGGACAGAGGGTCCCAATCAGACCTAATTAAAAACATCACCTCAACATTGCAATGACTAATAACCCATTAAAAGATAAAACTCTGTATTTATTTGAAACCATTTGTCCACTTATCTATGTAGCATTCCCAATGTAATATCTTTTCCAGTTTAGCTTTTGAGAATTATTCAATTATTTCATGATTCATGCAGTCCTAAACATTAATGTCAGGATCTCATTTGAAATGTATCCTCTTTGCAGAGTGTCTTTGGCTAAAAGTTTGTAACCATTGAGATACAGTTTCAGCTTTTTTACATCACTTAAATTTATATCTCCATATCAGTGACTGATTATTTTAATTAAAGTCTGGTGTGATGGATGGAACATATTCCTTACACATCTGTTACATTTAAAGGTTTATGTCAGGGTCCTGCCCTGACGTTCTTGTCCTTTTTTTCCTCTCTGTTTAAAGTGGCGAACATGAATTCATATACTTCCCTACAATATAGTGTACGCCAACAGAGTAGTATGTCCAAAAATATAGTATTCGAAAAACAGTAGGCGAAAAGTCTCCAGATGACCTACTACTTCCTCGATGGACATTTTACTTTCCCATGAGGCCACGAGAGAGGGTTTATGAATAGGTAAAGCAACGCAACTGACACTGGAAGGTCACCCTTCAGCTGGAACTAGCATGCGTGTGCTGCTGATGCAGGAGCCGGCCAAAACTGAGCCGGCGTTCTGACGTAGAACCTGTAAGCATTGTGTTTACAATGTGAACAGCATCAGGCTGACACAGAAGACAAGAAATTATTGATTTTTGAGAATACAAAAAGTATTCTCGTCGCTTCATAACTTTAACCACTAGCGTTCCAATTCTATCTACCAAATTCACTACCTTTCTGGGCCTTGAAATCGGTGATTACATTGCAGTCTATATGGGGGGGGGGTTAAATGTGGGTGGAAAAGTAAATTAAAATAATGTTTTTCATATTTCTGCATGACGTGGTTTTGACAATAAAGAAACCGACAAAGCGATACCATCTTAAACCCTTCAAAACATCACCTTTTTTACACTAGGCTACACTCAAAACAAAGGCCATCACAATGTGTAACCATAACACAGAGTCAAGTGCAGTTGTGAATGATATACATCATTACATACAAGGTAAAGAATTCAGGAATAGAAAGGGGTTTGTGTCCTGTTAATGTACAAATGTTACTTTGGGATGGAATTTAATTTGCATGCTTTTATGTTAATATGGCCAAATGAGGGAAGCCTCTAATAATTCATGGTGATAATCATTTGCAGTCTTGTCTGGTGAGCCACTGATGGATTTGGCATGTTGAACGGGTTAAACATAATCATGAAGTTTTATAAATCCTCAAGGCAGCTGTTAGTCGGTGGATAAAATGACATTTGCTTTGGGGAAATTATGATTTATATCGTAATGCGTTCAAAGGTTTCTGTTCCATGACGTGAATAGCAATACAAGAGCAAGTCTGATTATGCAAAACATTAAAGCTCAACATAATTCACATACTCTTTTTGTGTATTCTATAACGTCTTACAAACTTTGCCTTAAGGTGTTGGTGTGTCATCTTCTGTGCTAATGTTGTCCTGTAAAAGAAGCCTGTCCTGTGGCAAGTGATACATACTCCCTCTAGAGGCTGCAGGGAGCTATGCATCCATCTTGGTATCTGTCACCACCTTTTCAATTTTTATCTTTGGAGAATAGAAAGTGACTCTTTTTATGGCTACTTTAATCTTTTTAATGTCCCAGTTTCACTTACTCATACCTACACAAATTTGCCATATATTTAGATGAGTATAAACACAACTATTTCCCAACATATAACTTTTAATTGCACCGGGCTGATAACAGGTTGAGCATGTGCAGATGTTTGCACTGATGAAATATAGGCATACATGGACTACACAGCATCATTTTTGTTTATTTTTTGTCAAGATACAGCTATCAATTACACATGTTCCTATCTTCTTTCATTCATTATTTTATTCACTCATTTGCTTCCACCTAAAGCATGTGAAAGAAAGCAGGGTTTGGCCTGTTAACTTCCATGTTGAGCCCTGAGGCATGCCATATCTAAGTCTTTCATTGTCATTGCTGTCTTGAATGCAAGACATGAAATAGGCTACGTTGACATGAATTGCATAGGCATAATTGCTAACTTGTTTTACGTTACGCAACAGCAGCAGTTATTTTTTAATGCCAAAACTGTTAAACCTTGTCTGTTATGTTGAACTCATGATAAAAAGATTTGTTAAGCTACATTTTCGAACTGTAACCAAATTATTCATTTTCTTTTATGCCTTTAAACGGATAGTTCAGCCAAAATGAAAATTCTGTCATTATTTACTCACACTCTAAAAAATGCTGGGTTGTTTTAACCCAACTTTGGGTCAAATATGGACTAACCCAGCCGTTGGGTTAAATTTTTACATTACATTTTTAACCCAACATTTTGGGTTTGTCCATATTTGACCCAAAATTGGGTTAAAACAACCCAGCATTTTTTAGAGTGCATCCTCATGTCATTTCAAACCTGTATGACATCTTAGAATTGTGGAGTGTTTTTCACATCATGGACGTTAATGGTCACCGAAACTCGTCAACATTTTCCCAAATAGGCTGTCTTCTTGATCAACCCGGTCTCATCCCAAGACGTCATATAACTGACGTTTTGGGACGTCTTTTGACCATACGTCAATATTCGCCTTTTTAGGGCCCCCTTAAACGTCGGTAGATGAGGTTATGGGATCCTAACTCTACCCCAGACCTAAACCTAACCCTAAACCTAACCCGTCACCTAACTGACGTTAAAGGTAAAGCGTCAGTTGTATGACGGCCCGGGATCGCCATCTACCGACGTTTAAGGGGGCCCTAAAAAGGCGGATATTGACGTATGGTCAAAAGAAGTCCCAAGACGTCAGTTATATGACTTTTTGGGATGAGACTGTGTTATCTTGATTGTTTAAGGCTTAATGATCCCTTTAAAGACATAAAGAAAATAAATAATCAAACGCAGTAATCAATATCAGAGGACAAAAAGCATGTTTCATGATTGAACTCATCCACGCTCAAAAATTGGTGTTTGAATTTACACTGTAATATTTTTTCCGCATACAGTATACACAAAGTGCATATGAGAGAAACTTTGACAAGGATTCAAATTTTAAAAAGAAACAGAAGTTAAAAGCCCTCGTTATGCTTTCAAATGAAAAGCGATGGCCAGATCTCAATCAGTGCGATGTGGAACGAAGGATGACCCAAGAGTGATATGCAGCAATATGGCCTTTGATAAACAGAAAATGCTGTCCAGAGGAACAGAACAGACATCTTCAGTATATAATCAATGTGAATGAAAAGTCTGGTAGAAAATAAATTCCTCTGTTCAGACAGCAGGGTGATATAGAAAAACACTGTTGCGGTGCCAGCCAGCCCAGGAACTCACAGAAGGTCAGATCTCAGCAGATGAAGATGAGCAGGTACTGAAAAGGTACTCTGTAACAAGCACAGCTTAGCAGATCAGATGAGGCTTATCAGTCTCCAAAAGAGCACAGGACAGGACAGGACAAAACAGGACAGGAACGAGAGGTAAATGCTCAGAGGTCTCATACGTAGCTATCATTCTCGAAATAATCTGGCAATGAGACAGCCCAATGAAACAGGGCTAAAGAAGAAAACATAAATAGAGAAAGAGAGAACAGGTGTGGAAAGGGTGACATTATAAGAGTAGAGTGTCGAAACTGCTGGGGATAATGAGAGAGATGTTTGTGCGTGATGAATGAGAGAGAGGTGTGTGTGTAATGAGAGGTGTAGTAATCAGCGAGTGTGTATGTGTACTGTACGTGTGTGTCCAAAAGGGGGAGACAGAGTAAGGAGAGAGAGAGAGAGCCAGAATCATGACAGTCAGCCCAGAACTGTTAAGTTAATCTGAAACCACCACCAGCTCTTCTACAGACTGTCAAGATGATTGAGATGCACAAGGAGTCACAAAAGACCCACATAGACACAGGCATGCCCGCCTGAATTCTCAAAACTTGAGAGAAAGTTTTATGACTGCTCTTGTGGCTCACATAAGTTTATAATCTCATAAATGTCTTAAAACTATCTTTGTTATGTCATAAATAAATTTAATTCTATACTTTTGTGTTGGTGTTTTCTAGAGGTGCAAGCAGCTATCAACTCCCTCAAAATTAATAAGACCCCTTGGAATGACAGCATCTCAGCAGAGCTCCTTGAACAAGTTGGCTACCTTCATACCAGGATGATTCATTGGGGTGGGGGCGGCAGTGGCTCAGTGGTTCATGTAGGTTGTATACAAACCAGAAGGTTGGTGGTTCCACCTGACCAAGTGTTGAGGTTTCCATGAGCAAGCAGCTGCTCCCGACGAGCTGGATGGCAAGCCTCCATCTTGCATGACTGTATGAATGAGTGAGCGAATGGGTGAATGTGAGGCAAAATGTAAAGCGTTTTGGTGGCCATTGGGTCTGTGAAAGCGCTAAATAAATATAGTCCATTTACCATAATTACATTGTAATAACTATAATAAAACTGTAACAAATGTATAATTAAATTTTTTACACTACTTTTTTCAAAAACAACCGCCACTTTTTCCAAAAAAATCGCTACTTTAAAAAAAAAAAAGAATTGCTACTTTTTCAAAGTGAATCGATACTTTTATCAAAAAGAATCGTTACTTTTTATAAAGAATCACTTCTTTTCAAAAAGAATAAAGTAACAAAATAAGAATGTGATAAATATCTAATAATAATAATAATGTAACAAATGTAATACTATAATAAATGTATAACACTGTAATGTATAATTACATAAGACATACATAATATAATATGACTGTCACAAAGGTATAGTTACTTTTTTTTCAAAAAGAATCACTATTTTTTTCAAAAAGAGAATCACTACTTTTTCTAAGAGAATCACTTTTCAAAATAGCTAATTTTTCAAAAAGAATGTAACAAATAATGTAACAAATGTATATTAATGCAATTATCTAATCAACCAATCACATGACAGTTGCTTGCCAGCAATCGGGTGGGACGTGGAGGCATAAAGTCCAATAAAGTGGAGGGAGAAGTACATAGAGAGTCATAAAGTTGATCCTGCTGAGTTCCTATTTGTTTCAGAAAAGGGCAAGAGACTTAAAAATGTGTGATTTTTTGTCTATTATCTGCAAACTAAGTTATGGTTACAAAATCTTTAGAGATATGGAGGATTTAACCATCAGGATTTCCATCAATAAGTAGCCTAGCCTATAGCACCAACACTTTCCTGGATGGCAGCAGATTACTTTGAGTATAAACAACAGATAAAGTATAAACTTTTAAGTGTCCTTTAATTTCACCTTTAACTAAATAAGCAGTTAAAACTGGTTTCTAGTGAATATAGTGCATCTGACTATTCTCTGATGATTCGTTTGGTCTCCACATGATCTGAAAACATCTTATTTGCGAACTCTTGCTGTACATTTCTTAACCACTAAGAGACGCTGTTTGGCAGCTACTGTTATAATTCATTTACTCGTGTGCCCTGTTTCACAGACTAAAATGCATGTTTGAGTTAACAGAAAGCAATTTCAACCAACATATCTAAAAATAGTAAGTTATAGTTATAATATTGTAGTTATAATATATAATAGTATATAATATAGTTATAATATTGTAGCTTATATTTTAACGTTTACAGGTGTTCTTGTAGCATGCTTTTTTTGCCACATTATTAACTTAATGTCTACCTTCCATTATCATTTTACTTAGCTTATTTTCATCCTTTGTACTGTACACATTTGTAGACAGATCATAAGTTAATAGCTGTTTTTAGCTGTTTTGTCACAGCCCATGAAAACATTTATCTTATTTTGCAGATGGCTACAATAGTTGAATACAATATCCAGGTTATTTGCGTAGGAAAATGAAGAGTCATTTAACCAACATAAGGATGTAATGTGGCTGGGTCAGTTAGATAATGTTACCATTGAAAAGGCTTGTATTACAAAGCGGACCATCTCTTCTTATGAACAAATGAGCAAATTTTACAAGCACATTGATGAAAAGAAGGCTCAACAAATTTGTTGTTGTACAGGGTGAATCTTTAAATTTTAGGGTGTTCCCTCGAGTCCTACAGCAGCTTGTAGATGTTCAGATGACAACAATTGTTGTACAGGCAAATGTATATCATATATTGTATTTTATTGACTGAACAGATTTTGAAGTGACGCTCAAGATGTAGGTGTTTTTATTGTTATATATATATATTATAAATAATTATGCTAAATAAGATTGATGTTCAGAATCTATCAAATTTCTTCTAATCCCTCCCGGATCTGCCTGTTTTTATATGTCCTAAAATGAACTTCAGATTTTGCATTTGAAGACATAAATCAATTTTCATGGTTTTGAAGTTTTCTTCACCATGGTTTTGTTTTTTTATATTATGTTTTTCTTCACTGTACCGTATCGCCATTCTCCAAAGGTTAAGAGACAGAAAATGGTTGTTGAGTGAATAGTGAATACCACTATAATGTTAATTTACCATATGCACGTACGACTGTGGGTAACTTCTGAGGCATACCTGCTTATAAACTCTTGAACTATGAAAGAACTGTCTTTTAAAATGACAGATATTTTTGCAGCTTAATATTGTTATCCCTTTGACTGTTTACAAGAACATAAGCTGGATATTAAAAGTCATATTCACACACCATGTCAATGGAGTTGAAAAGAAAAAAAACCAAGCGCAAACACTGCCATCGATATGCCCTCAGATCAGCTCTTTTTGCCTGAGCTACTCTGTCCACACAATCCCACACAAACCCTGAGGGGTGGTGATCAGAGAATTTTGACTGTCCCCAGATCACGGTTAAAGAATAGAGGGGACAGAGCATTTACGATTGCTGGCCCTAGGCTGTGGATCAGCCTTCCGTCTTATATCAGAGCGGCTCAATCTCTGACTGTTTATAAATCGCCTCTTTTTTCTTTAGCTTTTATTTCATTGTGATATTTTGTCATGAATGTGTGGTTTGTCAGCGCAGTCTCATCCCAGGCAAGACGACATATAACTGACGTCTTGGGACGTCTTTTGACCATACGTCAACATCCACCTTTTTAGGGTACCCTTAACCATTGGTTAGATGACGTTATCGGATCCTAACCCTACCCCAGACCTAAACCTACTCCCAAACCTACTCCGTCACCTAACTGACATTAAAGGTAAAGCATCAGTTGTATGACGGCCCGGGATTGTCATCTAACCGACGTTTAAGGGTACCCTAAAAGGCAGATGTTGACGAATGGTCAAAAGATGTCCTCAGTTATATGACGTCTTGGGATGAGACTGTGTTAGGTTTGTCCTTGTTATTTATTCTGTCTATTGTTTGGCACTTTGGTCAGCCCTGTTTGCTGTTTTTAAGTGTGCTATATAAAAAAATACAAACTTGAAACTTGAAACTCTTCGTCTATTACGGAGGCTAGCAGAAGGGAAAGGCTGTCTCCAAGCAGAGGATGGCCCACTGGATAGTGGATGCCATCGCCTCGGCTGACAAAGCCCAAGGCGTGTCTTGCCCACCTGGGTTAAGAGCCCACTCTACTTGCTTCTTCTTGGGCGCTGGTACGCTGGGCGACACCTAACACGTTCGCTAGGTTTTTATAGCCTATGTGTTGTGCCAATTCTTCCTCGCTTCAACCAGCCGGTAACACAAAAGTTGCTACTCCAATGTCTGCTAGCTGCGCCACTCCCCTCCATATGGAGTGGATATGTGCGCTTTTTTGCTCCAGTCGAGTTCCGCACACAGGTGAACCCAGTAGAGTTCCTCCGCAGTCAGACGTTGTGGAGCATCCGACGACCAGGCCTAGTCTTAGTATGCTTGTGTAACTTGTGCTAGGCTGGGTTCCATATGTGGTGATTCTTGCGGCGATCCCATATGCGTATTCTTCCACGACCAACTCCCTGCGGTGAGCCTGTGTCTTTCCCTTGGCAGAGTACACTCTGCCGTCCCCCTTCTCAGGCTGGAGCCACCCCAGTGACATTCCATATGTGCGTGTGTATTCTACACATATACCTCCCTTCAGGCAGAATGTGGCTTCTGCAATGTCCCTCTCCCCTGGAAAGGCACGCTTTCCCAGTGTTATCCAAGACTTCCTCTGTGTGGGGTATAACGGAACAGCAGTTGAACTCCCTCTACGCAGGTCTTCCGCCCCAGCCAGTCTGGGGTCTGAGAGTCACTTCAACGTTTTGTCGAACGTGACCGACTGGAAGGGAACGTCTCGGTTACCAATGTAACCCTCGTTCCCTGAAGGAGGGAACGGAAGATGTAACGTCAGGTAACACCATTGCTTACCATCGCTGTAATGGCCGTCACAAATTCGGCTCCTTAGCGAAAAACATTGTGTGCGTGCGCCCACTTCCTATTTATACTCGTGCTGCGGGGCGGAGAGCGGGACGAGATTCACGCACGCCAACGTTCGTTGGCTCATCCTGTAGACACTCGAAGATGATAGGGCTCCCGGAAGTGATCCAAATAATGTCGTCATGCTGATGTTTTGTTTCCCGTTTGCTCCTTCAGGGAATGAGTGCAGGACGTTTTTCCGTTTTTTTTTTAAGTATGGAGATGCTTGAAAAGCATTCAGTTGCGTTCTAGACGCTGGGACAAGTCTGTGGCAAAAGTGTTTTCCACATACCATTCAGATCAGAAAGAAAATCGAAAGCACTTGTTAGAGGCACAAAACATCTTTTACTGTTAGGTAAGTGCCTATTACCAACTAATCTGAAGTTAATTAATACATAATTCGACTGGACATAACCGTTTTATGTATATAAATATAGGTTATATGGAATACGCACATGACAACTGGAGGGTGACAGCAATGTGCAAATCGAGTTACCCTTCCCATGTCTACTAGTTTTACTGAGATATCTTATCCCGTGTGAATTGACCATTAATATTAGAGACGTCTTGTGGTAAAATTACATTACTCCATCCACCCTTGTAAATTTAATCCTTTAGTGCTTTTTTTGGAAGGAAGTTTGGTCACTGACAGGATATTAGACTTTTGTGTAAGACTGTTGTGGCTTGCAGCTATTTTCATTTCTGTGGCTTCCTCAGAAAAGGAAGTGGTAAGTGTAACATATCTGGATGAGACCTACAGTACACAGCAGCTTATGAATATATATTTTACATTTCAGACTATCTGAGAACACTTTATCTTCACAATCAAAAAAACAAAAACAGATATGGGATTTTTTCCTACAAAAACCTCTTGCTGAAAGATGCGAAGTAGACACTTGGGAAATAAGTGACGTTCTTTTTAATGGCTAACACTGTGACACTTGTCACATTGAGTAAGTTATGCAATTTCAAAGAAAGCCCCTGGGCTCAGGTTGACTGATGAAATGTTGAAAAAGACACTGAGAAAATCATAACCATGTGTACTGACTGGATAATAACTTTAATGTAATGACTGGGTTATTTTCCCTACTTTGTAACTTGTACTCCTCTAAATTACTTTTTATAAAATAAACAAATTCTCTGATTCGGGCTTGAATGATATTCAGACTC